TGTACGTATGTATGTATGCACGTATACCTATGTGTATGTATGTATATATATATATACGGTATATATAACTACCCACGTACAAGTCTGCGTGAGTGTGGTGTGCATGTGTTCTCTTTTTGCAGGTGTTTTAGAGGTCAGGACTTCCAACTTTTGGCGTTCAAGGGCTTTAGCTACGATGTCTCGGCGGATGTGACGCTGAGGATATCAAAAGTGAGTCATAGTGCTTTTGCGTGAAGGCTTCGGCATACTTAGATTTGATCATGTGTTGCAGTAACTCGCATCATCCCCTCTGACCATGAATTTTTTGATTAGACTGCTTCACATCGAGTTTAGGCTAAGGGCGTTAGGGTTGAAGCCTCAGCTTGAGGGCCGTGGAATGCAGTGCATGTGCAGTTTTACATTCTAACTGTCGCTAAACCAGTAAGCCCTGAACTCTAAACCCTCCGGGGTTGAGGATTAAAGGCTAACATTTGGGCGCCTTGTTCTGACTTCTCGTGTCGAGTCTGTCGAACTCTTCCGGGATGAGCTCGCACGCATCTTCCTCACCTGGCACATGGGCTTTTCATGGCAGTGACGAAAACCTCAACCACCGGGATACAAAAAGCTCTGGACCTCAGAGCAGAACCTCTTCCGTTCCAACATCGACTACGTTGCGTGTAAGGCCCAGGCTCACTATCTGGGCCACAACACGCCTGAGGTCAGTGCAGCGTCCTAAATCCCGCGCTTTGGTGCAGAAAGCTACAGTAGCTGCTGTAGGCATGAGACCGACAGCAGATCTACGGTGACGGCAGCAGCGTAACGCTGGTGCTCGTCGTTCGCTGCTTTTGAATCCGAGGGACTTGATGTTGACTTCGGCTTTGAGCGCCGTCTCGGAGATCTCCTTCTGCTTTCTTATGTTCTGCTGGCTGACGACCTGCAGTCGGCAATGCAACTATGACTCTTGAGGGGTGCTGCAAGACCCTGCATCTACAGGACCCTCCAAGCTCGGCACATTGTCCAGAAAAATCGCCATAATAAGGTTGAAGACGCCGACCTTGGCTGAGAATGCTGAGATAGAGACCGGAGCTCTCCGTCTATACTCGATGTCCATGGGCGGTCCGCCTAGATTGCTTGTGAGGCTTCCTGCGGCTGCACATGCACAATCTAAGCAGTCGCTCCCAATGCCCCTGGAGTTGCGGAGACGAGCATGAAGACCAGGATGTAGGCAATCATGATAGTTCCTGTCGGTGATTATGGCAATGACTTGGAGACCCTCGACCGTCAGAACCTGAGTTTACTACAACATAATACACAGTACGTCACATTTCTTTCATATACTATACTACAGCATGCGACAACATACCATGTTATAATATTCTCTAGCATAATATGTTACAGTATGCTACAACATATTATATTAGTCTGTAGCATACTTTGCTATACAAGAACATACCATAGTTTTCTACAAGAGGCTATGATGCAATGTGACATACTATAATACTATAATACCATAATGCTATATTACTATAATAATATAATATATATATATATATATATAATACTATAATATATATATATAATGCTATAATACTA